GTTTTGTTTCTTTAAACTTGGGCAGAGTTTGTAAAAAAAAAAATTTAAAGATTTGGCTTGAATTGGTAGCACCATTGCCAAAATGGTTTTCGCAGCAGCAGTGATTTTGCATTTTGGGTCGTTTCAATAAGGATTAAAGGATTAAAAATTATTTTTCTGGCAATTTTCTGTGTACCATTATTTACCACTGATGGCAGAAAGTAATGTAATTTTATTTATTCTTTCAAATTCAGCCTTAAAGTATTGCTGTTGTACCAGCTTTGCTTTAAATTTGCATAAAACCACAGTCTTCTCTGACATAAAGGCTCAAAAATCAATGTCGATAAAGTCTAAATCTTCTTTTCACGAGACTTTCTGCTCTGCATTTGGCAGTCCACCCAGCTTTTGGATAGATTTCCCCACAGCTGTTTGTATATAGTCATGGTCCCCAGAGCATCAAACCTACTTTAATAATCTATGAATTCTTTTTGTGTAACCAGCAGGTCAAAATTTGCACTTTCTGCTGGAAAATATGCCAACGTCTATTTGATGGATTGGTAAAAAATGCAGACATTCAGGGTTCTCTTACTCATCCTAATGATTTTGGCAGACTTCTGACTCTATCCTCTAAAGTAGAGAATGTATTCAAAGCCACAAACGTCAACAAGGTTGACACAGATGTTAGCATTCCTCTCAGGATAAACTGTAAATTTTTACGAATGCTCAACATTAAATTTGTTGCAACCATCAGTTAAAAATTTGACATTGTCCAACACTTTTTTTTTAAGATCAAATGCGTGATGAACAAATACTCCTCGAAGGGTCATCTCCCTGGTTGAAGCTAGTCGCAGTGCATACACAGAGCAATAGATGGATGGATGTTTCTGCAGTCAGATCATTGCTTACAAAGGGAGCTTTGTTGTATTTTAAACAGTAATCTGCTTAGACGGACAGCCACTTAACTTCTCCTCACAGACTAGAATTGGATATGGATGCCAGAAATCTGATTCTGTTCATCTGGATGTTTTGTTTTCAGTGGGTTCATCACTCACTCACTCATCCAAGTGACATCTACAGTCTCAGCTGACTGCAGGTTTCCCTAAACTTACAAACAGTGCATAGTGACTGAAACTAGCTCCACTGACTAACAATGGGCTGTGAGGACTTTTTTATAATCATTTACTTGGCGTTATCGTGACCATTAATCAATGGCCATCAGTACCATTAACATAGAGTTAGGGAATAGCAACAATCACAGCATTGTGACATGGTGAAAGATATATCGGTAAGCCCTCTCCTCAGTTCAGAGGAGGACGGACCTCCCTGCCTGTCTTATAGTTGGGGAAACTGCAGTTAGCTGAAGTCACTGAAGAAGTCATTTGTGTGAGTGATGAAATGTACTGAAAGCGTTACGTGCAGATGAACAGAATCAACTTTCTGGGATTTAGTAACCTGCGTGACTGAGCATGCCAACTGAGTGTGACGTCAGTTACCTCAGTAAGCTAAAAAATGATTTGAAAGTGTAAACTCACGAGTTTGAGTCGTCCTTGAGCTCCATTTTGTTCTGTCAAGAATGTTTTGTTCATTTTGTTTTATTCTAGTCAATAAACAGACTAAAACAGGAAACAATCCTTGAACACAACACAAAGTCTAGCAAGGACATCCAAGAAGTACCTAGCACTGATGTTGAGGAAACATCCATAATGTTGGTTCAGGTTTAATTTTGGAACAGCTTTGTTCCAACTGTTACCATTAAAATGCTTCCTGGGTTTGACTATATATGCAGTAGAAGTAGGTACATCCTAGTGCTATTGCTTAAATCATTGATCGGGGCGATCGTGGCTCAAGAGTTGGGAGTTCGCCTTGTAATCGGAAGGTTGCCAGTTTGAGCCCCGGCTCGGACAGTCTCGGTCGTTGTGTCCTTGGGCAAGACACTTCACCTACTGCCTACTGGTGTTGGCCAGAAGGGCCGATGGCGCGATATGGCAGCCTCGCTTCTGTCAGTCTGCCCCAGGGCAGCTGTGGCTACAACTATAGCTTGCCTCCACCAGTGTGTGAATGGGTGGATGACTGAATGTAGTGTAAAGTGTGGGGGCGCTAGGCGGGACTAGTAAAAGCGCTACACAAATACAGGCCATTTACCATTGCAAAGTCTAGCTGTATTACTTGTTGTTGAACAGTATGGTTTTGCCCTTGTGCAAAATTAAAAACTAAAAATACAGGGTCACAGTTAGAATACAGTTCAATCGCAGTAAAGCCCAACACAAATTCTGCAGTGAAGATTTAATTTTTTTCAGCATTTTGTATTTCTAACTTAGATTTTTATGACAAATACTCAAACTTATTCAGAGTTTTTTGTGTGTGTTCAGCTTTTTAACATTTTTGCTCGAGGGGATCTGTTTCTCTACAGTCCTGTTCAAACAGATGAACGATAGAAATACTCGCCAGGATTTTGGTGTAACTCTTGGCATTTGTGTTGTCATGTATAAATGGCATCTTTCCAATATGGTCTGGTCTACATTAATAAATAACCCCAGTGCCAAGTCTGTCGCTATGCAAGTGGATGACTGTACAAGCACTGCTCAGTGCATGACGGCATATTAGGACGATCATTAGTCACCAGTCTTAGTGTGTTATTTCACACCTTTGTGCCATCTCACAGTCACATTTTTCAGTTCCCCATGCGTGACAGACTTCATGCAGTTAACAGGAATAACAGGAAATCACAGATCAGTCATTATAGGCTTTTGTGTCTCTCAATCAGTACTCACTTTTGTTGTACTGTGCTTGTACTGCTTTGTTGTAACATTTTCAGTAATGTTATTTAAGTGCTATTGATCACTGATGTTGTATACTACGTTCCTTTTCTATAAAGCTTATAGTTAAGGCTGGATCAGGTGACCCTGAACCGTCCCTTAAATGTGCTGCAATAGGTCTAGGCTGCTGGGGACCTCTTTTACTATCTATGTGTTTATACACCACTATTAACAACCATTAATCATGGGTTAGTATGAATCTCTGACCTTTCCCGCAGCAGATGGGTGCCCCTCCCTGTTTCTCTGGTTCGGCCAGATGTTTCTTCCTGTTAAAAGGGAGTTTTTCCTCCCCATTGTCTCCTTCTCATAGGGCATGGCTATTCAACTAAGAAGTTAGTTGGGCCAGATTTTCAAACCGAGGAATTTATCTGGGCCAGA